AGTGTTCTGAATGCTTTATAACCTTAGGTTTTAAACTATTTATTTTATTAGGTAACTTTGTCCTTAAAGTTCTAGACATCAATAATTGTGCTGGAGAATTTAAATTACCTCTAGGTGTATTTCTATACAGTAGTAAACCTATATATGGATCAGAACCTGATTGATCACATTTTCTTAATATATTCTTTACTATTTTTACTGAAGCTTCGGCAAGACCATTTGACTGTGGATAGTGTGGACTTGAGACTATATGTTCAATATCCCATTGTAATAAGAAGTTCTTAAAGTCTGAAGAATTATAAGGTGGGCCACCATCACTGACTAATTGCATTGGAATGCCATGACGTGAAAAAATTGATTTTAAGTGTGTTATAACCTTAATTGATCGTGAGTCATTGTATAATTCTGCTATTTCTATATAATTTGAATAAAAATCTACAACAAGTAAGTATTTCTTTCCTTTAAAATCAAACAAATCTGTCGCTACTTTTTGCCAAGGGATCACTGGCTGTTCATGTGACAACATTGGCTCTTTAGTTTTATTTTTTGAATATATAGCACATGTTTCACATTGTCTTACTTTATTTTCTATGTCATGACTTATGTTTGGCCAATAAACTACACCTCTAGCTAAACATTTTGTTTTTTCTATACCTTGGTGACCTTCATGTAAGATATTTAAGATTTCTGACCTTAATGAAGTAGGTATAATGACTGACTGATTTTTAAAAACTAAATTGTTAATGACATGAATTTCCTCTTTAATATTCCAATAAGGTAATACTATATTATTGCACTGCTTTTTGCAATTTGGCCATCCATTTTTATAATAATTCTTTAATTCTGTTAATACAATATCTTTGTTTGTGTGTTCTAATATTTTATCAAGTTTTTGTGGTGATATTGCTAAGTTTGAAGTTAATAAGTTTATGTGAATATTTATATCACTATCTAAATCGTCTAAATTAAGTAATTCTGAATTTGTGTCTGTAACTGGAGCTCGAGACAAAGTGTCTGATATGTACATCTGACTACCTTTTGTATAACTGACAATTAAATGATATGCCTGTAAGGTTATCATCATTCTCTGAAGTCTTGCTGGGACTTCGGACAATGGTTTTTTAAAAAGTGTGACTAATGGCTGATGATCTGTCTCCACATAAACAGGTCTGCCATATAAGTATTGATGAAACTTTTTACAACCAAATACTATAGCATATAACTCTTTCTCTATTTGAGCATAATTAATTTGACTTTTATTTAATGACTTTGATGCATAAGCTATAGGATGCTTGTCGTGCAATATTACTGCACCAACAGCATTTTTTGAAGCATCAACTGATAATCTTATTGGTTTATTTATATCAAAATGAACTAGTACTGGTGACTGACATAATAATGATTTTAAATATTTAAATTGTTGTTCATGTTGATCTAACCACTGCCAAGTGTTTTTCTTTTTTAATAGTTCTCTAAGTATTGTAGTTTCCTCAGCTAAATTGTGTATGTAAGAACCTAAGTAATTTATCATACCTAGAAATCTCTGTAATTCCTTCACATTTGTAGGACTAGACATTTTTAAAATAGCTTCAATTTTAGACTGATCTGGTGTTATACCATTTTTATTAAAGATATGACCTACATAGCAAATTTCAGACATAGCAAAATGACATTTTGACTTATTAAATTTAAGATTGACTTTTGAAGCTCGCTTAAGAAGTGATTCTAATCGTTTGTTATGTTCAAGAATGTTTGAACCATAAACAAGTATATCATCAACAAAAATTATTATACCTTCCAAGTCTCCAAATAAATCATTCATTGTTTTGTGAAATATTTCACCACTAGAATTAATTCCATATGGTAATCTTAAAAATTTGTATCTGCCATAAATAGTATTAAATGTACATAAATCACTACTTTCAGAATCTAAACCAATGTTCCAATAGCCTGAACATGCGTCTAATTTTGAAAATACAGTAGCCCCTGCAACTTTAGATCTTAAATCATCAAAGGTAGGAAATGGATAATGAGGTCTCTTTATGGCTACATTCAAATTTCTAGGATCGAGGCAAATTCTCAATGTACCATTTGGTTTTTCGACTAAGACTATGGAGTTTACCCATTTAGTTGGCTTATCAACTTTTTCAATGACATTTAATTTTTCCATGTTGTCTAATTCATCTTTAAGACGTTTTTCTAATGAATATGGAATTCTACGTACTGGACAAACTTTAGGTGTTACATTTGGATCAATATCCAAGTGTGCTTTGTATTG